AAGATGAGAGCGTAAGAGCATTTGTGATGCGTTTCCAGAAGATCTCCAACGTGCTGATGAAGAAGGGGAAGATCTCAGAGGTCGAGCGCTGTACTATCTTCATCGGACACCTGTCCAAAGGTAGACATAATAGTATACTTAGAGATCTTCCGCGCGACAAGCTTGACTTCCCAGAAGTCCTAAAGCTCGCAATAAAGGCAGAGGTAGACGACTACGAGGACTTGGTGTGGAGAGGGATGAGGAGACGTGACTTCTCTCTCTACAAGGAGTATGCCACTGATAGATGTCCTGATTTTTGACAAGGCACGTTACAGAGATTGTGACCACCACAAGAGCCACGACATACAGGGACAAGCCCGGAGGACCCTATTCACTTCGCTGGGACCGGAGGAACACTGATTCCTGGAGAAGTGTCGAGGATAGAACTCCTCGAACGCTGACTGATTATCGTGCGAGGAAAGAGAGAGAGACGATGAGCCATGGCGACGTAGGGATGATAAGATAGACTGGGACCACAGGACTCGCGAGACGTATGGGCGTGCTAGGAGACTGGATGACTACTCGCGTAACCCTCGTTATGAGGCCGATCGGGGTAGAGGCGACTCTCGAGGCCAGTGGGAGTCAGATCAGGGCCGACGAAACGAATACAGGGACAACAGATATGAGAGATCAGACCGGGATGGATATAGGGACGGAAGATATGAGAGGACGGGTTGAGATGGATACAGAAGTGGCGGATATAAGAGAGGAGATCGACCCGATGATTCACGCAGGCGATACGACCGAGGAGACCGACGTGATGATTCACGCGGGTGGTWCGACCAAGGAGACCGACGTGATGATTCACGCGGGCGATACGAYCGAGGAGACCGACGTGATGATTCACGAGGGCGATACGAACACGGAGACCGCCGCAATGACTCGCGGGGCAGGAATGAGAGGGGGATACGGCGCGTCGTCCGATCCGTATCGGAAGTCCCCTGACCCCAGAGCAGCGAGAGGTTCGACCTCCAGAGGCGTGGACGAAAGGCCACCCACCCCCAGGAACTCTTGCGTCTACTGTAGAGGGGATGATCATATCAAGAGAGATTGCTCGGACCTTAAACGGGCAATAGATGAGGGGCTTGTCGTGCTTGACGACCGCAAGTACGTCAAGTGGGCAGATGATCTGGGAGATGAATCGATGTTCCCTTCGATGAAGGAGAATGTCGAAGCAAGGAAAGTAAAGCCGAGTAAAGGAAAGGAACCGGTCAGGGGTCAGAGCATCAAGATAACTTTTGAGGGGGATATGGCGACCACACCCATAAGGGTGGCAGCCACCAAGTCGGCGAAAGTGTCTACATCGAAGAAGACTGACACGGATTACGTGATGGCAGAGAAGGACGGAGAACGGATCGATGGAGAGGAGGTTATTCTTTCGCCGCGGAAGCGGGGAGTGAAGAAGTTTTTGATGAAGAGTTCGCTGGATGAGATTGACACGGTCGAGCCACTGAGGTGGGCCCTTCGGCAGCCCATGTAGTGCTCTATTTTAGAATATCTGGCGGCATCCTCTTCAGAGGAGGCTCAGATGATCACGCAGAAGACTCGCATATCTCTATCAGAGGAGGCTCAGGGGGGTCCTAAGGCGGATGCTCCTACTGTAGCAGTAACGGGGGTGACTGCCAGAGCGGATCGCATGGCGACAGTCCTTCTTGATGGGATGGAAGGTGTGCCTCCAGACAAGTTTTACATACTTGGTAGTGGGGTCGTGGAGGCGATCATAAACGATGGAGCGGTACTAGATGCTGTAATCGATAACGGCAGTGAGGCTGTCATTATAGACGAGGATCTGGCAGTACAGGTTGGACTGGGCCTCGATAGGTCATTACCTATTCGAGATAGAAACGGCTGATGGGAGAAAGCAACAGATCACCGGGGTTTGTCACAAGGCAGCCATAGAGGTCYAAGGCGTACGAGTGACCCTGYCGGTCTTTGMAGTCAAGAACTGCARCTCTGATCTGCTCTTGGAACGAACGYGGTTGAGCCACGTGCATGCGGTGACGATAGAGCGACCGGATGGGARCCAGACATTGTTCATTAAGAAGCTAGATGGGACGCAGGTTATGATTGAGACAGTGGAGCCTCGGGACCCGAGGAACAGAGCARCTCTCGCTGTGGGTGCAAGACCCAATGATCAGATTAAGTCATTACCTATCTCCGGCCGCACGGTGCGATTTCGCGAGAAGAAGTATGGACCACTGCTCACAGAGGAAGAAGGTCGGATCGTGGAAGTGGAAGGTTTAGGGAGTCGGCTGATAGTGGACGGCAACTCGTACCCCAAGGAGACAGATGAGGAATTTGGCGGTGTGGTATCTGTGTCTTTTTTAAGGGCACGGCCCTCTATGGGGGGCTACCCAAGCGACACAAGCGATTTGCTCAAAAAGTTAAGCCAACGGCGGTGGGCCGCGAGTGATCTGCACTGGAAGGGGTATCGGAAGAAGAGATCGCAAAGGAAATCAAAGAAAGAAAAAAAAAGAAGCCGCAACGCCAAACGGAAGAGAGAATAGCAGGGATGAAAATCGGAGATGGAAATCTGACCCCACAGGAGCGAGAACGTGTGATAGAGATCCTAAAAACGTGCAATAAGGCTATAGCCTTCAGCGATGCGGAGCGCGGTAGGGTTGACCCTCGATACGCAAAGCCAGCAAGGATTTACACGATTCCATATATTCCTTGGAATGACGCAGGATGGAAATACGCCAAGCAGGAGAAGGAAGAAGTTATCGCTTTCGTGAAAGAAAATATAGTTTTCCATGTTGCGGAGCCGTCTGATAGCGCCTATGCTAATCGATGGTTCTTCCTATGAAAGCTGAATGGCAAGATCCGATGGATCCAGGACCTTCAAAAGGTCAACGCGGTGACGATACGAGACCTGGGCTCTGTGCCACACGCCGACTTACTGGCCGAAGGCAGGTCGATTTATTCGGTCAGTGATCAATTCTCATGCTATGATCAGGTACCGCTTAATCCTAGGGACAGACACCTCACGGCTATGCACACGCCATTGAGACTGATACAGATGATGGTTGTCCCTATGGGTTGGACTAATGGGGTAGCCGTTTTCCAGAGAGTCATGGTAGTCGTCCTTAAGGACTTCATCCCTGATAAGGTGAAGTTTTTCTGGATGACTTTCCTATAAAAGGGCCAGTAAACAAGGATGAGATAGAGGTTGTACCAGGAGTTAGAAGATTCGTCCAGCAGCACCTAACATATATTTGTGCGGTACTTGAGCAACTAGACGATGCGAATTTAACGGTCAGCAGGACAAAGAGTCGATGGGCCGTCTCGACTATTAAGATCTTGGGCTATATTTGTGACTCGAGAGGACGCCGAGCAGATCCAGCGAAGCAAGACAAACTTCTGAACTGGCCGTCACCGTTACATAGTCCAACCGAGGTCTGACAGTTTATGGGAGTGGTCGGTTACTGGCGTATATTCATACGAGGGTATGCGGAGAAGGCTGAGCCATTGAGGTTACTCCTTCGAAAAACTGAGAAATTCTACTGGGATTCCTCGCAGGAACTCGCTATGCAAGAACTTAAAGACGAATTTAAGGAGGGAGGACGCGTATTGGGCGTGCCATTCTTTGATGATGAGGCTGGGAGACCCTTTATAGTATCCACCGATGCTGGACCTTGTTCAATAGGTGGATTATTGTCTCAAAAGGATGCTGGAGGGAAAGAAAGACCGATAAGATTTGAGAGTAAAACACTTAATACGGCTGAGCGTAACTACAGTCAATTCAAGAAGGAAGTGTTACCTGTTCTGCGGTGTCTAGACACGTTCAAACACTATATCTATGGGCGGCGGTTCATCTTGAGAGTAAATCCCACCGTGGTTGCCTCTGTCCTCCAGAAGGACTTTAGTCTGACCGACCCGACCATCGCTCGATGGTTAATACGGATTCGGCTATATGATTACACAGTTGAGAGGATATCTGGCACTAAGAATGTCGTGGCGGATGGGCTTTCRCGYATCCCTCTTGAGGCCGAGCGCCCGAYAGTAGTTGGTGCCCTGACAATGRCGGAGCCGAGACGCGCTGAGCGATTTCTGGTTAACCTTTACGAGGGCAAATACCAAACGATCGGGCTACATTTGTCAGGGGAGAAAATCCAAGAATYAGATATCCGGAGACAAGCGGCGCAGTACTGCCTTAGAGCCCGACATCTATTGCAAAGACCGRCCGGCTCGGGGATGCCCTTACAAGTAGTWTGTGACCCTGAGGAGAGACAAACGATARTTGTAGAGCTTCACGACAGGGTAGTCGGAGGACACAGGGGAGTCAAAGGAACCTACGAAAAGGTACGCAGGTTGTACTGGTGGGAAGGACATTATAAGGACGTCGAGAGGTACTGTATGACCTGCGAGGAATGTCAGAAGAGAGCTCTTGTGAAATACAAAGAGCCTCTCCATCCATCCTATTCCACTAGACCAGGAGAGAAGGTACACATCGATCTGGTGAAGATGCCGAAAGGAGTAGGCAATATGATCTACGTCGTGAACATACGAGACGATTTCACTGGGTTCGTGGACGGTAGACCTATCAGGAGTAAGACGGCAAAGGAAGTGAAGAACTTCGTCCTGGAGTACTTAAGACGGCAAAGGAGGTGAAAAACAAACGAGACGATTTTACTAGGTATGGTTGTGTCAGCAAGATAGTGATGGACAGAGGGGCGGAGTTTCTAGCTGACGAGGTTTAGAGTGTGTTTAAGAGAGTTGGGGCGAGAGTTTCGATAGCCACCGCCTATCACCCACAGTCGAACTCCCCAGTAGAGAGGGGTCACCAGACTCTAATARCGTCATTGTCCAAGTGGTGCAAGGGTAAGGACAGTGATTGGCCACGATATTTTCGATACACAATATSRGCGGACAACGTCACGATCYGGGCTAGTACCGGATACCCACCGTACACCTTGTGGTTTGGGCGRCATTKTCCGCTCYCCATAGAGTTTCACGTCGACAGCTGGACAAAAGTCGACTGGGCGGAGGAGATGTCCAGAGAGGAACTCATAGCTACCCGAACAAGACAGATAGCCTACGGTTTGGAAGATAACCTTATGATAKCGGCAAATCGTCTGGCARTGGAAAGGGACMAAGGTAAAGAGAGATGGGATAAGAACGTGAGGATCAGGAAAGAGAGGGTGAGCGTAGGAGATATGGTCCTTCTCTACGAYGCAGCGCTGGAAAGGACCTRGACYGGAAAACTCGCCAACAGATGGATGGGACCTTACAGAGTGGTTGAGACACTCGACTGGGGAGCATATATGATAGCAGAATTGGACGGATCCAAGTGGAAGGACCCAGTGGCGGGTGCTAGGCTAAAGCTGTTTAGACCCAGGCCTGCACCCTGCTTATCACTGACAAGCCCGAAAGGGAAAGGAAAAGCCAAAATGGAGGATGGACCCCTCTTGAGACGATTCGAGGCAGGGGAAAGTTCCAAGAAGAGAAAAAGAGTGGAGAGAAGAAAGGTCAAAGGATTGGCATTAGGGAGAGAGAAGAAATGGTTATTCGTGCTCAGGAGGGCCAGACGGAGAGTCCGCATCAGACAAACTGGCGGGACGGCACCCTTCTCAGGCCAACGACAGAAGGGAAAGAGGATCCTACCAAGGCCGAGAACCCGGCGGAGAAGGAAAGTCAAAAAACATCTCCGCAAGGAAAGTCAAAAAACATCTACTTAGCCCTAGAACTCAAAACAGACTAAAACATAAGACAATTGAACGCCGACGTGGGCGTCCCTTACGGGCAATCACTCTGAAGCTTATCCGCTTTGTCTGACGAAAGTGGTTAGGGCTCGACGGGGGCGTCGAGAAGTGGTCCGGGCTAACTGTCAGGCGGCCACAAGCAGTGCGCCACCTAAAATCTGCGATTTTGGGACTTAGGCTCAAGGGCAAGTTCGTGTTTTGACGGTACTCTGGTTTGACCGGGCAACAGAAATTAGGGGAACTCAGGGTACCCCTGATTCTGAACATACTGAACCTTACGACTAACCCTCAAAGATAACGAGATGGGTGGGCGCACTCGGCGTATCTAGAAACCGTTAATTCCGGCCGTTCAGAGGGCTGGAGCCGGATTGGCCTGCCTCGAGGAGACATCGTGGGAGCAGACCTCGCCGCGACACTTTTGCAACATACGACCGGGGCCGAAATGAGGCCTCAAATTTTTGTCTATTTTAGTGCCATAATTAAAGATGGGGAAAAATGATTATAACCAGTAGGGGAGAAGGAAAAAACATCATATCCCTTAATTTCTTTATTTTTCACGGCATTTAATTCTAGGGGGAATATCCTTGATATTTTATGTAACCGACAATGAAATTAAAAACACAGAAAAAAATTAAAAATGAAAAAAGAGGTATGAAACAAAAGGAATTCAGCCATTTATTTAAACTCACTTGGAATTTAATTTTGCGAAATTTACGGTTAATTTACTATTTCAGACAATAGAATTAAGGAAAACGCAGAATGATTAAGAATGATGAAAGGGGACGGAAACCCATGACTAATGGGAGATC